CTGTTTGATGTCAAGTGCATTAGTTTTGAATTTGAAGCAAATACTTTGAATCTAACTTTGCCAAGCAAACTGCATGCTAATTCCAAGGTAGTGAATGTATGTGTATATAGTATTTAAGTGGCCTTCAATGATGTCTCCATGACTCTTCATTGTCATTCAACTAAGTGGTATTCTAATAATTATTCCCATTAGAATTAGTCTCTAGTTGAAGCAATATGAACCATCCTTTTTCCAGGTGCTGCCACTTGTGGTCTGACTGAATTTACCTGCTCTAGTGGTCAATGTGTTTCAACAGCGTTTGTCTGCAATGGTGCAGATGACTGCGGTGATGGAAGTGATGAAAAGGGCTGTGCACCAACTTCCTGTGGCCTGCATGAGTTTCAATGCAATAGTTCAGAGTGCATCCCTTCGAATTGGGTGTGTGACACAAACGCTGATTGTGCTGACCAATCTGATGAATCACAAGACCTCTGTGGGCATATCCATCCTCCCTTGACCTGTCCTCCCAATGCAATTCAGTGTGGCTCTGGTGAATGTATCCATAGTCGCTGGTATTGTGATGGTGACATTGACTGCAAAGATGGAAGTGATGAAGTTCACTGTCGTAAGTACTCCAAATTCTGCTTGAGGGCCCTCATGTCCAGTTGTGTTGTGGTTTTTTGGGGTAGGAGGTGGGAATTATGATGACTATTAACAAGGTTCAATCATTTTAGTAGGCTACTTGGGCTGCTCTATCAACAAATTACTTCAGATATGTATTTTTGGCTCCTTTTATCGTCATTCTAATCTTTACCTTGATACTGCTACTAAATATAGAGCTTCTCATTTCAGTTCCTCCAGAATCTACAGCTTTTGGGTCACTTTTTGTTGTAGGGGCACTAATTTAGCCATTTAAATAGCTGAGCTATTAGGGTTGTTGTGTAACAAGACAATTCCTGTTTGTGGTGCATGGCCATTCTAAACTTGGAAGGTACTATGCAGGCCCTGTCCACACAGATGACGTACTCTACTTTAAAGGGATCTTAAAGATTTAGAGTATTGCATAAAACTGATTTCTCCACAGTAGTTGTCTCCCACTTTATCAATCTCTTGCTCTTGCTCTTGTGTCATGTGCTCTCAATCAGTTAATCTAACTTCCTGCTGCCATCAGCAAATTATGCCTTGTAAGACATGGTATACACTGTCTTCCTTCAACTTTTTTGTTAGGACTTTTTTGTTGTTTTGATGCCTATCAAAACGTAATATAGCAAGGAAACAGGTCCTTCGGCCCAAACTGGTCCATACTGACCATGGTGCCCATTCAGCTAGTTCCAATTGGTCCATAATCCCTCTACCCTTCCTATCCATGTACCTATCAAAACAACTGTTAAATGTTGCTATTGTACCTGCCTCAACCACTTTTTTTCTCTGGCAGCCCATTCCCTCCAAGTTCTCTTAAATCTATCTCTCCTTTCACCTTAAACCTATGCCCCTTAGCTTTCAATACCCCATCACTGGGGGGGACGAACTATATGCATTCATCCTATCTATGCCCCTCATTTTATACACCTCAAGGTCACCCCTCATTCTCGTGTTGTAAGGAATAAAGTCCTATCCTAGCTAACGCCTCCCTATAACTCAGGCCTACTAGTCCTAACAACATCCACAAATCTATGCGCACTTTCCAGTTTGACAGCCTTTCCTACAACAGTGTAGCTAAACCTGTACACAATATTCCAGGTGCAGCCTCACCAACATCTCCGGCAACTAACATAACATTCCAACTCCTATTCACTCAAGGCCTTGACTGATCAATGCCAGCATGCTATGTGCCTTCACCACCCTGTCCACCTGTGGTGTTTTTGCTTTCAGCAAACTAGTACTTGTACTCTTGTGCCCCTTTGTTCCACAACACTCCTCAGGACCTTACCACTTACTGCACAAGTCCTAACTTGGTTTGACTTTCCAAAGTGCAACACCTCACTTATCTGTATGGAATTGCATTTGCCAATCCTCAGCCCACTTTCCCCATCTGATCAAGATCCCTCCAATTTGATAACCTACCTCACTATCAACAGTACTTCCTACTTTCATGTCATCCATAAACTTGCTAATCATGCCTTGTATGTTCACATCCAGATCATTGTAAATAACAAAGGTCCCAGCACCGACCCCTGTGGCACGCCACTAGTTACAGGCCTCCAGTCCGAGAAACAACTTTCAATAATCATCCTCTGCTTCCTACCATCGAGTCAATTTTGAATCCAATTGACTAGCTCTCCCTGGATCCCATGTGACCTAATCTTCATGACTAGTCTGCTGTGCAGGACCTTGGGCTTTAAAGTCCATAGACATCCACTACCATACTCTTATTCTCTTGGTTACCTAGTCACAAAACTCTACAATTTGTCAATTCCTGTGCACAAATCCATGCTGACTATCTAAATGTAGGTTGATCCTGTCCCCTCCCCACAGTCCTTTCCAATAACTTGCCTACCACTGTCAGGCTCACTGGCCTATAGTTCCCTGGCTTGTCTTACCTAGCTTTATTAAACAATGGAACAATGTTAGTCACCCTCCATCTTTAGCCACTGGTGAAATTCAAGACTGAAGCAAAAATCTCTCCAGGGTGTCTGCAATTTCTTCCCTAGTCTCCCACAATGTCAGGATGGATTTGATCAGGCCCAGGGGATTTATCGACCTTAGTGCACTTTAAGGTGGCAAACCTCTCTGGTAATGTTTATGGTTGAAAACATCCCCACATGTTTCTCCAAGTGTAGATCCCTAGGGAGCATAACTTGTAACGTGTGCCATACATGTACAATCTCTCCATTTAGCTCCAAGTTCTGCATGTTTTTTGCTCAACTTCAAATACAAGCTATTGTGCAGTGTTAGTGGACTGCACATCATTCCTTCAATAGTGTTTTATAGATCAGTTGCACATCACTGAGTTTCTCACATTGCATTTTCTGCAATTTTATTGCTCATGAATGAATTCTTAACTACATGGGGATTGTTGTAGCAAGAGGAATTGGAGGCCTTTACCTCTTTAGATCAGATTTTCAATCTTACCTGGATTTGAAGAGGTCCAGAAACTAACCTGGTATCTTTCCTCAATGACGCAAGCTATATTTGTGCACTTTTAGATATTCAATGCTGGTTTATTAAAACTATGAACAAAAACCAAACCTGCTGGAAAAGCTCAGCAGATCTGGTAGCATCTGAAGGAGAAAAGTTAGTTTCGGGTTGGGTGACCCTTCCCAGTGATAGGTCACCTGGACCTGAAACACTAACACTTTTCCTTTCACAGGTGCTGCCAGACCTGCTGAGCTTTGCCAGCAGGTTTGTTTTTGTTCCTGATTTGCAGCATCTGCAGTTCTTGGGTTTTTTTTAAAACTACTGTTCTAACTACTTTAGCTGTCCACACATGCAGACCAGATCACTTCAGATGTGGTGATGGTGTTTGTGTCCGTAATGACAAGAAATGTGATGGAATTAAAGACTGTCTTGATGCTACTGATGAAGCTGGCTGTATTAATGGTAAGTGTGCAATATTATTAGTGACCCATATGAACTTCATAATTACACACATTGGATTTGTTTTTTTCTTGCAGCTACAGAGTGTATAGGAGCCACTGAATTTAAATGTGGCAGTGGTGAATGCATACATACGAGTAAAGTTTGTGACCAGCATCATGACTGCAGGGATTGGAGTGATGAACCATCCAACAAATGTAGTAAGTAGTGATCACTGTCTGTCTGTTTTGCTTATCTGTGCAAGATGTATTCTGTTATGGTCGGTACTAATGCAGGAAAAAAACTGAAGTTTCAATGTCTACCACATCTACAAAACTTACAGATGTTCCTTGAGCACATACCCTGCAACTGGTGGGACAAAAAGCTTAAAGTTCTGGTGTATTGATTTTTTTCTTTTAATTTAAACTTCTCGAGCCAACAGAGTTTTGCACTCTGAAATTAGAATGCTTGACTATTTGATTGTGCTTTCAAATCTTTCTGCAAAGATGTAATTTTGTAAAGGGATATGTAGATCAGAATATTTGCTAGAAACGCTGAATTAAGGCTCTGGGATTGTCATGCAATCAAATAAAACTCCAGTATCTTGAAGACGACAGTTTTCTTCATCTGCACACCAGAACAGATGCAAATGCTAAATTTTCAAAGGGAATACTGCTTGAGAAGGCAAGCAGGCAGGCCAATCAACTGGTTGAGATGGTGCCAGAGTAAATGTAGCAAGGAAGTACCATCTCTCTCATCCAGGCATTGCTTGGACATATTCCTCTGTTCTTGAGGAATCAAGTCAGTGTGTGCTAACATATCAAGCCTTTGAACAAGTGAAAGTGAGCTGTGACGCTAGGAGGTAGTAAGAACTGCAGATGCTAGAGTTAGTCAATAGCGTGGAGCTGGAGGAACACTGGTCAGGAGGCATCAGGAGCAGGAAAGTCAATATTTCATGTTCTTGCCTTTTTTTTGGTCAGGGCTCCTGACAAAAACTTGGAGCAGGGAACTCTACACTTTTTGATGCTACCTGACCTCTTGCATTCCTCCAGCTCCACACTGCTGAGCAGTGATACTAGCCTGGCTGATGTCCAATTGCAGATCCATAGCTAACACTTTTCACATGTGGGTCTTGCAAGTACTGATTTGGTTGAGTGCTGGCTATATTGCAGACAGACAAAAGGATGTGCATCTGAGTTTAGTTGAGACACACCCTAGAAACCAGGCTGTGTGCCAATACTTAATCCAAATACTACATTGCTCATGTCTGGGCTTGCAATGTGCCTCACTCTAGCTTTCTAGAAATTACATGTATTGTGCAATATCTAATCCTTGGGTGGGGATAAGAAACACCTTGGGTATCTATTGAAGGAGTGGGAGATGGCTCCTTTTCAAATATGTGGCTGAAACCTTTTCCATGGTGAAATCAGTCAACCTTCTAACCAATCATCTGTACTCTTCAGAAGTATCAACTGTTCCCATCAAAGTCTGACCTTTTCTATGGCCTGTCTTGAGTGCAAGACAAAAAACATGTTGTTAGCAATACTGTTCTGCACTCTGACTTTCAGCAAACCTGTACTGAAAATTATTTTCAAGTTGACTTAAGATTTAAAATTAAGTTTCATTCTGCTCTCTTGAAGGATATCAAAAGAACACTTGTGTACATGCTTTTGGACCATAGCCATAAGCCAAAAGGACCCAAATCTGCCAGATGCCCTAATGTAGATACTTGTGTGGCATTTCTTAGTAAATTCATGTTTAATTTACTATCAGCCACCACTTGCAAATGAGACCTAGAACAGCAAATACAGTAGGACTAGTGATCTACTCCACGTGGTTTCAGCAGAAGCCCAGTCCCTTCAAAGACTTGACCCATTCTTTGCAGTTTACCTGTTTAGTGTAAATAAGATTCCACTTCTGTCTTCTGCCAACTTTTTTTCCCTGAACAGGGAGAGATGTCTGTGCCACAAGGTGCTACCAGGTCAGGAATTGCTAGCTAGTTTTTGAAGGAAAACAAGTTTAAATGATCCCATGGTAATGTCCTCTTGCACCCTCTTTTCTCACCAACCCCCCCCACCCCATCCCAAAAAACCCATGATTTTTAGTTCCTGGAGTCATAATTACTTCTGACATTCTTTTGTAACTCATCAGCCATAATGTCTTTTGGGCATCTTTGGATAGAAATACACATGCCTCTCAGCTGTAGTTCCTCAACCTTTGCACCCAGGTTCAAGTCCTACCTGCTCCAGTTGTTATAGCTTGTCTAAAATATGTACTTTGAAAAATATCTGAAGTAGATTTTGAACTAGTTTTGGTCTATTCAGTACAATAACTTGGCTCAATGCATCAAATTTTGTAATGCAAAAAGTCAGCTTAGGTTCTGTAGCTAATGGTCAAACCCCAGTTGATTTTAACATCACTAAGCTTTATCTATATTTTAGATGAGGACTAAAGTGACTTGAATTCTTTCCTCAGATGTGAATGAGTGCTTGGATAACAATGGTGGCTGTTCACACATCTGTAAGGATCTGATTATTGGCTATGAATGTGACTGTCCTACTGGTTTCAAATTAACTGATAAAACCTGTGAAGGTAAGCTTTTTGGCTTCCTTTTAAATTCAACTGTAAAAGGAAATGGTGACTTTTAATGAAGTTCAAGGGATATTGGTGCTTTATTTGCAGATATTGATGAATGCAAGAATGTTGGGACCTGCAGTCAAACTTGCGTCAATTTAGAAGGAAGCTATATGTGCAGCTGTCACGTTGGATATCACATGGATCCAGCTAGTGGAGTTTGCAAGGCCGTAGGCAAGTATTCTCTAGAGTATTGCATCAGTCTTGGCTACTGTGCTGTCTTCACCTTCAATTTAATCCAATCTTCATGCTCTTTAGGGGCTATATGAACACACCTTTTTAGCTCGTTTTAAGTTACGGAGCTGAAAGGAAATCTTTTCAGGAAAGCTCTCCTAATACAGTACCTGTTTCTCAACTTGGGGTTCAACTCAGACCAATGAAATTTCTCTTTGGGGATGTGGTGCTGGTCAGCTTTTGATACTTGTATGAATGATTTTGTGCATGAAAATGAAGAGACGAGCTGGTCCATCACCCATACACAGAACCATCGCAAGTAAACATCACCCATGTTTGTGCTGGAGTGGAATAATTTAATCATGTTGTTTACTCCAGTAATTGAGGCTATTTGTTAGTAATCACTGTCTAGCTTTCCCCACACTTTCTGCAGGAGCTAAAGCCTCTGCTGCTGCTTGTACGTTCTTACTAATGACTTGCATGGTGGTATGACCCAGTTTTTAAAAAGGACACTCGAATGTTCTTGTCCTCAGCTGCAGTTTGTCATGACCCTCCCAATCTGTTCTTGATTCTTTGCAGCTGCTTTCAAATGGCTGTATTATAGTGGATCTATCAACATGTATGACATTACATTAAGACAAATGTGTTTTGGTCACTGTCTCTTTTAATGTTTCTCACCCTGCCCCAGTGTACAAATACAGAAAGATGTCAAACAGCAAAATTTCTGCCAAGGATCTGTTAATGATCACAAGGGCTTCTTTGTAACACCAACCACAATTTGTCAGTAAATGTGCATAGTGAAGTCTTTGCCATCCAGACTAAGACTTTCAGCTTTCGGAGAGAAACAACTGGTGTTTCAGCCTGACCTTTCAAATTCAAATCTGAAAGATTAACTACTTCCTCATTTCAGTTTTGACCAGAACACTTTACTTTTTTATCTGGTTTCAAATCTGAAGAATTTGGATTTGTCATGTGACTGGTTTCACTCCTATGTAGAATGCTTATGACTTCCTGTATATGGAGATTTGTTGGACTTGATTTTTAAAGATTTAAAATTGCTTATTTTCCTTGTCTAGTGTTACTGGCTCCCTTGACGTTTTAAACTTGTCAAGTGGGGAAGGTATTAGCTGGTCCCTGAATGTTCCATTTTGGCAATAGGATGTATCCTATGATCTGGTCAGTTTTTTTAGGGCAGAAAATTGCTTTTGAAGCAAACAAGTTAGCCACTGGAGGGCAGTGACTAACCACCCAAACCCTGTTCACATACTTTCCTTCTGACAGAAATCCATACTCAATCATAAGTTTATAGCTTGAGTAGTGTCATATTTACCTGTGTAGCTCCAATTTTACTTAACACTGAGCTCATAGCAACATATTTGGTCTTATCTGGCTTGTCAATGGTTTTTTTTATTCCACCTTCACACTGGTCTATTTTAAACTACCTAAATTGCAGTTGAATTCAACAGGGTGAGATCAAGATTTGAGCTTCAGATAGGCTTGAATTCCAAAGTTGTCTTTGCTCAAATCACTAAATTATTTCAATGACATTTGTCTCCTCAGAGAATGCAATCTAAGCTCTTTTACTAATGAATTTATTTCAAATGGATTGCCTTACAATTCCCTGCAAAAGCTTAGGTTAATTGAATTGTTTTGGTTTAGGCAATCCTTCAGTACCACAAAAATCTAATGAAACAATGCACCTTGGGCATGTTCCCACCTCTTCTAGAGGATAACTGCAAGCTACTAGACTAGAGCTTTTTTCTTTCACTTTGCACAAATGAGGATTTTAGGATAAACAGTCTTTTACAAAAGTTTGGTCAGTTATCTAACATAGGCAGGTGACAATTTATTGCAATTTTGTTGAAGCTGCAGTTCTGATTTATAGTACACTCTGTATACTTTATGCCTGAAAAGTGACAAATGAGAATGCCTTTCCAATCCTGGAGCCATTCTGTAGAATGGAGTAGTATCCTCCCATGTTACAATGATCCTAGAGCCTCTTTGTAATGGCTATGGTGCCAACAGTCTTTCACCCTCCGGCTGACGTTGGGAGACCAGGAAGTTCCTCTAAGGTGTTGGGGCTCTAGCCCCTCCCTCCCTTCCCCATGTAGATCTAATACTGCTGATTTTTGGGAGCTAGCTATCAATGCTATGTCAATGGCTGAGACTAGTCAGATGACGGTGTCCCCTTGCCTACCTCTGTTTGGTAGTTTGGCACTTGCAATTAGAATGGCAAATTAACTTTCATCAATGCAGCACATTGAAAATAATGGAAGTCCAAGATCCTGGTTCTTGTGACTCCTGTTTATCATTTGCCTTTTTGCAAAAGGCTACCTACTAATTCATGGTAAGTCTGTTTCTGTGCTGTATGAATCTTTCAACAACCTGTTTGTGGTGACCACACACTCCAATCTGACCTAGTTGCATTTAGCCCATATCCTCTAAACCCTTCTTATTCATGTACCCATAGAATGCCTTTTTTAAATGTTTATTTGTACCCACGCCACTATGGCAGCTTGTTCCATACACCCCCCCTCTGATGTAGTTACCCCTCAAGTCCAGTTTAAAAATTATCCCACCCCACCCCTGTCTTAAAGCTATGCCATCTAGTTTTTTGGACTCCCTACCCTGGGGGAAAAGACCTTGGCTATTCACCCCATCCATGTCCCTCATGACCTTAAACCTCTAAAGCCCTAGCCTATTCAGCTTCTCCCTATAACTCTACAAGTTGTCAGGGATAGAGGGTAGATCTTTTCTCCACCCTAGAGTATACCAACATCTTTTAGAAGGGTGACCAGAATGGTACACAGTATTGTGGCCTCACTAATGTCCTCCTAGCTGTAACATGATGTCCCAACTCCATTTGGCAACAGCATCAGTACAGAAGGACAGTGTGCCAAATGCTGCCTTCACCCTTTCTCCCTGTGACTCCACTTTCAAGGAACTAGGGATCTTGGGGTGCAAGTGTACTGTGACAGATGAGGTCTTGTGCTGTACATGAAATGCCAAAAATGGAATGCTGAGTTAATGGGTTGGTTTAAGAATAAGTGGCCCTGTTAATAGTACTGTTTTTACTGGAATTGCTTTACTTTTCTGTGCACATTAAATGCAGTGTGGAGCTGGATGAACACAGCAAGCCAGGCAGCATCAGAGGAGCAGGAAAGCTGACGTCTCCGGTCTGGACCCTTCGGAAACATCAGCTTTCCTGCTGTGTTCATCCAGCTCTACACCTTTTTTTATCTCAGATTCTCCAGTATTGGCAGTTCCTACTATCTCTGCACACAAATGCCTTTGGGCAACTGACATAAGTTGAATTTGGCAAAAGCTGTCTCAATGTCCTGAAATATGCTGTTCTATTAACCTATCCTTCCCAGCAGGCAAGGAGCCATACTTAATCTTCACTAATCGTCATGACATCAGAAGACTGGGATTGTATCACAAAGAGTACAGCCAGCTAGTAGCACAGCTGAGAAATGTTGTGGCACTGGATGCTGATGTCGCACAGCACATAATCTTCTGGGCTGACCTGGGACAGCGGGCGATTTTCAGGTAGCTTCAATTTACTTCAATGCATTCACCTGGAGAAACACAGCCAGCCTGGCAACATCAAGGGAAAACAAAGGTTATGTGACTCAAACATTTAATTGTTTCTTTCTCCCTCAGATGCAGCAAAACCAGTTTCTCCTCCAACTTTTTTCCACACTGTCAGCATCTGCACTTGTACTTTAAATTAAATCCTTGTATAATCCTGTAACTGACATGTGAGAGTGTCCTAGTGTCATAAATCATCTGTCCAATGCAATCTACAAATGGTGTCTGCTAAATATTTGTCAGTGTAGCAAACCTGATTATTAATGGTTGTAATTTAAATGAGTAACTTTTTTCAAAGTAAACTTAAATCCTTTTCAGGCATTTTAAGTGCAGGTGATCTACAGACCATATTCAATGGTTTAACATAAAAGGTGCTGCAAGCAATTACTTTTTTGTTTGTGAAATATTTAGGACCTGATAATGTAGCCTGCATAGTGATTTGGACCTAACCAGTAAATCAATCATTTGCTGACAACTTCTCTCCTGTATTTGTGACCAATATAAGCCTTTGGGCCAAGAGTTTAAGTTTTTGAATGCTAAAATGAACTAATTCAAGTCATCTCAATATTTCTGCAGTATGCCAATGGATGAACGTACAAGCAATGCTACTATTTCCAGGATTGTTAACAATGTAAGAATTCATGTCGGCATTGCTGTTGACTGGATCTACCACAATATTTACTGGACTGATATGGGTGCTAGGACCATTTCTGTTACAAGCTTTGATGGAATACGAAGGAAAACGCTCTTTGACAGCAACTTGAGAGAACCAGCTTCTATAGCAGTTGATCCTCTGTTGGGGTATGAATTTTCTATTGCATGTAATAATACACCAACTTGTTTTAGTTCAAGTGCTTAACAAAATGTCAATTATGCACAGTTTGCATTTAGTGTTAATATTACTTTGTTTTTTGGTCTGGAGCTTTCCTGGTTTTATTTCAAATGTGATTTCAATTTCACTTCTCTTCTAGGCTCTGACTGTGTCGTAGCTGGGGTTGTTAATTGTGCCTAACTCTTCCTGAAGGTTTTTATGATTTTGCCTTGTACTCAAGCCATTAGATATCCCAAATCTCCATTCTTTTAATATACTATCTTATCACAATTGGAAGCAGAAACACTTGGCCCATTGGATGGTGCTTGATCCAGCCAAACAACTTCTTTATTTTTCTGCCAATTTTTGATATATTTTGGAAAAACGTTCAACTTTTCAACATGAGGTTTCCCCAGTGTTTGTAGAGTTGTACAGCATGGAAACAGATCCTTTTTGGTCCAACTAGACTGCTGAATGTAATCCCAACTAAACTAATCCCCACCTGCCAGCTCCTGGCCCACATCCCTCCTGGTCTTTCCTATTCTTTTAACTAGCTAAAGTGCCTCAAATGTTGTAACTGTGCCCTCATCCACTTCCCCAGGCAGTTCATTCCACATGTGAACCACCCTTTTTCCCCTCAGTAAAATTGCCCCTCCTGTCTTTAAATCTTCTCTCCTTGAAAATATGTGCCTAGTCTTGAAATCCCCCATTGTAGGGAAAAGACAACTACCACTAACTCTCTACCCCTCATTTTTATAAAATTCTATAAAGGTTGCCTCTCTCAACCCCACACCCTCCAGTGGCAGAGGGGGTAACCCTAGCCCTTCATTCTAACTCAAACCATCCAGACCTTGCAACATTCTGGTAGATCTCCTTTCTACCCGCCCCAGCTCATCACCTTTTTTCTATAATGGTGACCAATCCTCTTCAAGCATTGCGGGGTGGGGGGGAGGAGAGAGGAGGGAGTAGCTTAAGCTGAAGGATGCTTCAGTGTAATTTAAAGACTTAAGTAGGCAAATACTTGACAGATGCAGTATAATGTAAATAAATGGAGGATATGTATTTGTTCCCAAACAGGAAGTCCTGACCTTTGGCACTCAATTCAGATGTAACATGCTAGAAGGCAGCTGCTAAATAGCAATGAAAGCTGAGGTTTTTGGACAGGGTGTGGTGCAATGAGACCTGAGTGGTCTTCATATGACTGCTGGCAATAAACAGGCAGGTGCATCAGGTGGTCTCTTCCAGTGAGAGGATTACAAGAGCAGGGATGTCTTGCTGCTATTGTACAAGGCCTTGATTAAAACCCCGCCTGGAGTATTGAGTTTTTGGTCTTTTTCCTAAGCAAAGATGTCCTGGCTGTGGAGAGGTTGCAAAGAAGCTTTACCAGGCTGATTCCTGGGCTGTTGGGACTAGGAAGAGATTGGATCAATTAGGGCTAAATTCACTGACCTTCAGAATAGGGGATGGATTGGTGAATGTTGCTTATGGAAGCTTCCCAAATTCTAATTTAGAGTAGATGCGGGAAGGATGCTCTGACAGGACTCTACAATTGGGATCATTTTAGGAATGAGGTGAAATTTCTTCACCGAGTGGCAAGTCTGGGATTCTGTTACAGCAAACTGTGTTGAGGCAAAAGCATTTGTGGAGTTAGATGTAGTGCTTTGCCTAAAGTAATCAAAGGACATGGGGAGCAATTAGGCTGAAGGTACTGAGTTGGATGATCAGCCATGATTGACAGCAGGTTTAAAGGATCGAATGGCCTACTGTTTTGTTTCTAATGAGGTTCAGCATGGACCAGTGCTGGGACCTCCAATTGTTTACTATTTGTCTAGATGCCTTGGATATAACAGTATATGGCTGGGTTAGTGGTTAGCCAAATACCAGGCAAGTGGAGTATAATGGTGGTCGGAATGCAGAAATCCATTTTAGCAGGAGGATGTAAAAGCTGGAAGACACTTATCAAAATGGTAAATTGTAGAGGTATATGGCCTCCTAAACCCTTATCCAGGTATAGTAAGAAATTGGAAAAGGCTAATTTTACCACTTTGAGATTTGAATGTCTTGTATGCATATACCTTAAAGCTGCTCTTGTAGCATCTGACCAAAGGCTATAAAGGCCTCTAATTCAATCTCTTAATTGGGGTCAGTTGAAGCCTGATGTCTACAAACAGATCACACTTTCATCACCATGAGTAACTTTAATATTAGACATGAACTGCAGTGTCTGTGACTAATGCTCATCAGGAACTGTCAAATGTCTGAGTCTGTCTCATGCCCCACACCTAGTGATGGGGTTAACCAGTGTTCCTGCATAAAGTGCAAAATCCCTGTTGGAGGAAAAGCCCAGTTTCGGAAGTAAAAGGGTTACCTTTTGGCTAAGGCAGTAGTGAAACCATATCTATGTACAATATGATCACCTTTTTAAAAATGTAAATGCATTGAATGTAGTTTGGAGAAGATTTGTCAGACTAACTGCTTCAATGGATGACAAAAGTCTACACAAACCAGGCTTGTATCTGCTGGAGTTGGGAGTAGAAGTTCATTTGAGGGATTTTTAACAGGCTGGAAGTGGATAAGATGTTTTAGAACTAGGATCTGGAATAAGGGACAAAAACAAAAGTTTCTGGAAGAGCTCAGCAGGCCTGGCAGCATCTGTGAAGGAAAAAACATAGTTAACATTTTGGGTGCAGTGATCCTTCCTCCAGAGGGTCTGTTCTGAGGAAGGGTCACTGTACCCAAAACATTAACTTTTTTCCCCTTTCACAGATGCTGCCAGACCTGCTGAGCTCTTCCAGCAACTTTTTGTTTTTGTTCCTGATTTACAGCATCCACAGTTCTTCCAGTTCCTTATTTGGAACAAGGGGTTACTTAAGGGTCACATCTAAAGATTAGGTCACCTGCTTTGAGGGCTGAGTCAATGGACCTCACCAGGAAAGGTGATGAAAGTGGTGCCCTAAAACACAAATTTAAGGTAAACCATGGATAGGTTCTTGCTGAGCAAGAAGCTGCAAGGTATTGGTTAGGCAGGAATGAAGATTTCTGGTTACAATGCAATCAGTTGTGATTTATGAAATAGAACAGATTCTAGAATCAAAATCACCTACCTACTGAACTGGTTTTAAACATGCAGCACTGTTTTTTGTTACTTTGATTATGCAAAGGTTATTGTTTCCCCAATTATCTAACATTTTAAATTAAAGCCTTTCTAAAAATATATCCGTGTTGCAAAAAGGAACCAGCTCTTCTCCTTTAGTCTGAAAATGAGCAGAATCATCTGATATTGATGAATTTTTTTTTTGTCAAGGTCATCTTTGGTAATTGCTAAATATAATAAACCCTCCAAGGAGGAAACCACAATTAAACACTATTTCTTCAACCCCCCCATCCCTTAAGGCAACCAGACCTTGTAGCTTTGCAAAAACATAAAATTAAATATACCCTGTATTGTGACTTGAGTTGACTTTCCACTGCCCTCATTTGACATCTGGAAGATTTTGTTTCACTTGAATAGGCAGTGTGAAAGCAGCCAATATTTTGAAGGACAATCTGAATGCATGCTGAAGTTAGCCTAGCTATTTTCTCATGGTCATGCCAACATAGCTGCTGCTTGTCCTATATTTTGAAGCTGTTCTGGGTTTTCAAGGTTTCAATGTATAATTGTCACAGGCAAATAAATTGTGGGTCCATGTCACATTTTTGTATTGACTTGGATATCTCACATGCATATTGTGTCTATCTTGTGTTGCATCATAATCAACGTATTTGCTCTTGAGGGGAAACGGGCAGGAAAAGTGAACATGTTCCCATCCACTCCTTACAAACATTCACTTAAGTATTGTTTCATTCCCTGCATCTAGCTGAATTACATTAAATGTGCCTACTTAACCGAAAGTTAGGGATTTGCTATGTAAAGATTCAAGAATCAACCAAAGTTGAATTTCAATATTGAAATCTGAGCTCCACTTAACTAGTGAAAACCTTCTTAGTAACACCAATTTTAGATTCTATTATCTTTACTACATGGGAGCTGTGATCCTTTAATGAAAAGTACTGTCAAAAACAACCAGAATCTCAGTGGAACAGCAATGGTATTTCTTTTCAGCAGACAATAGCACTTTTTTCTAAAATGCAAAAGAAATACAGCTTGAATTTAATCTTAATTGCTTCTTATTCAAAGGTATATGTATTGGTCAGACTGGGGTGAGCCAGCAGTAATTGAAAAAGCAGGAATGAATGGTGTTGGCCGCATGCTGCTAGTTACCAGAGATATTGAATGGCCCAGTGCCATTACACTTGGTGAGTGGATTTATGAAAGTAGATTAGTTTACTCCTGTTTTGAATCCTGCAGCATAACTTATTCAGTTTCACTTTGCCACAGATCTCACACAAAGCCGTCTATATTGGGTTGACTCTAAGTTGCATATTCTGTCAAGTGTACATGTGACTGGAGAGGATAGAAGAACTGTGCTTTCCTCACCCAAATTTCTTGCTCATCCTTATGGTGTATCAGTATTTGAGGTAAGATCTAATGTAGTGAAGCTGTGAAACAGCATGCACAGAATAGGAAGCTGTTATATTTAAATGTTTTTTTATTTTTGCAAAGCAACTTTTTTGAAAAGTGGCAACCTTTGGGAGATAGACATTTGTAAAATGCTGCTAGCTTGTATGCATCACTTTTTTAAGTTGAACTTGTATTATCCACTGTAGTACCCATGAGTACTGTCAAAGCAGATGGTCAGTAAAGACTACAGCAAAAAGGTGACTATGAACCTTTTAAAAGGAACACTTTTTTAAGGCTCTTAACTATTCACTGACTTTGCAATGTTTTCCTTGTGCATTAAACCATATTAATTAACTGCTGTGGAGTATTGAAATACCGTGCGGTAAAACTTGGTAGAAACATTAAATGGTAGATGCCCCCAATTGGGAGTACATGGTGGGTGTAATAGCATTGTTTTCTGAAGGTTACAACCTGTACACAACTTTCCCCAGTTGAAGTTGACTCCAGTTCTGTGCCATTCAAGATGCATTTCTGTCTGGATGAAACTTCTGTCAAACTTGATTATAGATTCCATTGTTTTCAGCAACTCTCTCAATCTCCTACACTGCAAATAGTGGCCTTAATTTCTGACTGGAGAAATTTTAGCTTTTGCCTTGTATGAATTGTGAAAAATGGTTTTTTTTTTTAGGATCATGTCTTCTGGACTAGCTGGGAGTATAACACCATATATCGAGCGAATAAATACACAGGAGAGGATCTGATCACCTTAATCTCTAATCTCCAGGAAGTTCGGGACATGATCATCTATCATGAGCTTATACAGCCATCAGGTAGGGAATCTAGCATTCTCTTTTAAATGAACAGCCTATTAAACAAAACCTAAAGTTTTTTTTTTCAAGGTTGTAATTTCCATCTTCATTTACCAACAGTAGCTTCCTGGTTAGAAATCCTCTTGCTAAGAATGAAACTAGCTGACCTTTTTTCAATTTTTAATATGATTAATCAACATTGGATCTTTTGAATTTTGTCCTACATTTCATTTTTCACTAAGATCTGTCTGCCTTGACTGGCATGATGTGCAGTATACCCTGGCACTTGTCACTTATGGTGGTGTCATCAGCAAACTTTGTAGGTGAAGTGATCGGTGTCAGTCAGATGTATACGGCACAGAGACTCTTTTTGGTCCAACTCATCCATGCTGGCCAGATATCCTAAATAAATCTGGTCCCATTTGGCCCACTATCCCTCCCTCCACCCTTTCTATTCATATACCCATCCAGAAGCCTTTTTTAGTGTCATTGTACCAGCCTTCACCACTTCCTCTGGCTGTTCATTCCATATATTCACCACCCTCTGCATGAAGAGGTTGCCTGTTGGGTCCCTTTTCTTAAAATCATTCATTTTTTTTTCTCCTTTTTTAAACCTATGCCCTGTAGTTTGAGACCTGTTCCTCCAAACCGTGCCCCCACATCCTGGTGAAAAGACCTGGTCTATTTACCCTATCCAGGCCCCTTCATGATTAAACCTTGAAGGTGACCCCTCAGCTTCTCATTTTCCAGGGAAAATAGTCCCAGTCTATTCAGCCTGTCCCTTTGGCACAAACCATCCAACCCTGGCAACGCTTTTAAATCTTTTCTGAACCCTTTCTAGTTTCTCAACATCATCCTCCCTACAGGAGGGAGACCAGAATTGCACACAGTATTCCAAGTGGCCTAACCAGTGTCCTGTACAGCTGCAACATGAACTCCCAACTCCTTTACTCAATGCATACCAAATGCCTTGATCAGATCTTGAACAACAAGACAGTGCAGGAAGGAGATACAGCTTGGTGTGGTGTGAAGACAAAGGAGCTGAGCATTCCATTTGGGAAACAGTAGAGGACAATAACCTGTCTACATCAATGGTGCTGCAGTGAGGTGGTCGAGAGCTTATGGTCCTTAGGAGTAAACATCACCAACAATCCGTCCTGGTCCATTCATGCTGATGCGAGTCAAGAACACCTGTACTTCCTCCAGGCTAAGGAAATTCAGTATGTCCACAGTAACCCCTATTTCGTGATGCACCATAGAAAGCATCCTATCCAGATGCATCACAGCTTGGTTTTGGCAACTGCTCTGCCCCAAGACCAATCAGTTGAGTGCAGCCTAGTCCATCGCAAAAACCAACCTTCCTTCCACTGACTCTACAATCCCGCCACAAGAAGGCAGCCAACATAAAGCCCCCTCGCACCCTGGTTATACTCTCGTGCCTGATGAGAGGGTGGAAGATTCACAAGTTTGAATGCATGTATGAGCAGTTTCAAGAACTTTGTTTTTTATTCCCACTGATCAGACTGATGAATGGACCTCTCATTGGAGTTGATCTTTCTTTGCACCTTCTCTCTAGCTGTAATACTATATTCCGCCTTGTGTTCGTATCTTTTTGATTTCCCTGGATAGTGTGTAAAATGTTTTTGTTTGTTACTAACAGCTTAGACCAAGTAAAGTGTGCATTTACTCTGTCCTAGTTTGTTTGAACAACACTCAATTGATCTTAACAGCAAACTAAACAGATCCTCTAGGATTCTGCCCATTCCCCACCCCTTGTGAATAAACATTTTTGGGTTTAAAGTTTAATCCATGTACAACAAAGGGTGTCAAATCTTGTGTATCACATGTAAGGTTTTTTTTAAAAAAAAACAAACCTCTTTTATTCTGGTAAGTGTGCTCCAGCTGAACGCAAGTAATGAAAAACCATTAATATCAAATTACTTTTTGAAAAATGATCTTGAAGGTAGATTTAAACAAACCTCTCCATGCCTGTCACTCAATCTACCCTTGTCACTTGTCTTACAAAAAGCAGTAATCAATTGTCAGTTCCATAGTCCTGTTCCAAAAGCGTAACTTGAAGTACCTACTCTGGCAAAACTAGTATAATGTCAATTGGGCAAAATCACCATCTGTCTTGAGCATAAACTGTATCCAAACATTTTGTGCACTTTTCAACAAACTGGTGGACGAATCCATACTTAGTGCAGTGAACCCAGTGTGAATTAGTCATTTAAGCTTTGCATATGAGGGCATAAAATGGAAGCTAATCTTTATATTTTTAGTACATTGGCACAAACCACGTTTAGCAGTGGTCAATTATTTTCAGTGAGTAACAAGTCAAAGTTGACATTCATAGAATCCCTGTAATGCAGAAAGAGGCCATGCATCCCATCAAGTCTGCACAAACCCTCAGCATCCTATCCAGACCCAGAACTCCTCTATATACTCTTCTATATCCCTGCAATCCTCCATTAACTATAGTTAACCCACCTAGCCTACACATCTCTGGACACTGGGCCAACTTAACATGGTCAATCCACCTAACCTGCACATCCTGTTGACTGAAACCAGAGCACCTGGTGGAAGCCTATGTAGACTGTACAATCATCCAAATTTGGAATAGAACACAGGTCCCTGGCACTGTGGCAGCACTACTAACCACTAACCCACCATGCTGCCTATTAAAAGTACACTTCAAAAATTGAACTGTATTTCATTGCTGTATAAATATCTAAGTCTTTTTATGAATGTGAAAGCTATATTTTTCAAGTCTGTTTACAGTTTTGAGCATTTTAACACTTGAAATGAAGTTCTTCAACTCTTCAGTCCACCTGAATATGTAGACTCTTTTTTTGCAACATTTTTTTGAGGTAGAAACTTGTAGCTGTGTTGGAGCCATGTCTCTAATTTAAAATCAATTATTCAAGCCTCACTTCACTAAAGCTGAAACAAACTTGTAGATGGTGTATACATTGGAGTTTGGTTTAATCTGGACATGTTTTTCATTGAGGCTGTTATTACCAAAGGAAATCACTGCTTGCCTATGACAATTGCATCATGTGATTGCTTCAGTGAAATGTACAGAATGAACTGTTTGGGGGAAAAGGGTATTCTAACTCTTCCGGTTAGATTCTTGGCTACAAGATTACATCTGTCAATGACTCTTAAGTACTTGGACACTAGTTTCTATTAACATTTTTCCCTACAACTTATGCCTTTCTAGGCAAGGACTGGTGTAAGGAGAATATAAAAGATGGGGGATGTAAATACATGTGTCTACCAGCTCCTCAAATCAACAGTTACAGTCCCAAATACACCTGTGTGTGTCCACCTGGAATGGAGTTGCAAAAAGATGGACATCACTGTGGAGCAGGTATGAGAACAATGTAAAATGAAGTATTGTAGATGCTAGAAATAAAATGTGGAAAGTGCAACAAGTCAGGCTGTAGTATCTACAAGGAAACCAGTTACACTTGTCAAGCCGTTGACCTGAAATGCTTTTTTTCCAATGCAATATGACTGCTTTCAATTTCATTTTTGAGCTGCTCCTAATTTAATAACAATGCTAGATAGTATTACTCTTAACTGAACTTTAAATCTTGTTTTGACTAGTCAAAACCATCTGTGGTGTAACGGAGGTAAAGTGCAATGATGGACAATGTATACCTGAGAGATGGCAATGTGATGGTGAAGCTGACTGTCATGATGGATCAGATGAAAGTGAAGAAGTTTGCTGTAAGTATCTCTCTTGATCAGAGGTTTGAGGTTGGAAAAATATTTATTTCCTAATGTATAACTTTATTATCAGCTCTGAATGGGTTAATCTCCACCCATATTTTTACTTTCCAGCAAGGAGAGCTGCTGGCTTGTTTCCTTCACTAGACATTTTGTCACTGGTTTGGTGCCTCCTTTTTACTTGCTACATGTATCCTTTGTTCCTGCCTCCAACCCAATAAATAGTCATGTCTTCAGTGAACTAGCCACCATGCTTAATTTTCACTGAAACAAGTCCCCTTAACCAGTGTTTGTAGCTAAATTCTCCTGAAATTGGCACAGCATTGTCCCTTGGTCAGTCACTAGGGGTGTAAGGTAATCAAGTGCTTAATAATGTAAATATGCTACATTTTTGCTGTTGTGGCTTGCAGCACATAGCTATCTACACCATCTGGCTTTCAAAAAGTTAAGTTGGCTTCAGTGAAAATTTTTTCCCCCTAAAATTGAATATCCAGACAACTTTGTGGGGGTGGAAAAATGTTTGTCCTATTGCTTTCATAATGTAGTTGAGAAAGTTGTGGTAAACTCTGCAATTTTGAGAACATGAACAAAACTAGGAGGGGGTAGGAACAGAAGGCAAGAACAATGCCAGTCTGTCTGGCCCCTTTTTTAAAGCCATCAATGCTTGAATCGATCTTTTGGACAAATTCCACCAGTCAGACAATTCATTCTGCCTTGTGACCATCAGGCAGACGTCTTGCATTAGTCCAAAGGATTTGCTAACCCCTGCAGTAGCAAACCAATAAATGAATGATAGAAGTACAGTGAGGACAAAAACACGAGTTGGGAGATGAGTGGATGTTTGGGAAAACTTGTATAAAGCCTGAGTTGCTCTTGTCTATGCTCATCAGGATATGCTGTGACTTTCAAGATTACTAGCATATGGTACAAATTTCCATCTGGTCTGACCTGTTAGCACTGAGCTTTTCATGAAAGCTGAGCACTTACTGAGAACTCACTACATTTTTTTCTTTCTTTGTAGACCTGAGAATGTGCCCCATTGGGGAAGTTAAATGTGGTCCTGGATCTCTTCGATGTATTCCTATTTCCTGGAAATGCAATGGCATACAAGATTGTGATGATGGTGCTGATGAGGAAAACTGTGGTAAGATTTTAAAACATGCACAAGAAATTCACTGCTTTCTGTCCAAAAGCAAAATATCTAATTCTCTACTGTTGGGGGAAAGAAACTTTCTGGTTGGAGTGATACCTGGCATATAGTGCTTATCAATCAACTCAGCTCCAGGACCCCTCTGTAGGAGTTCCTCAGGGTCATGTCCTAGACCTAAGTCTTCAGCTGCATCATCAATGACCTCCCTTCCAAGGTCAAAAGTAGGTATGTTCACTGCAAATGTTCAGTACCATTTGTAACTCATTGGAGCAGTCCATCTTCAAATGCATCAAGACCTGGATAATCAGACTTGGGCTTAAGTGAGATTCACACCATACAAATGCCAGGCAATAATGACCTAGATTCTCATAATAATCACTCACTGCAATTGCATTATCATCTGTATCCCCCACTATCAACATCCTGGGGGTTAATATTGACCAGAAACTGAACTGGGCTAGCTGCACAGTGGCTGCAAGAGTGATCAGACAAGGGATACTACAGTAACTCACCAACTGACTCCCTAGAACTTGTCTATCTACAAAGTGCATGTCAGGACTGGAATAGTGTTTTGAGGTGCACTGCAGAAATAACTAAATATCCTGAGACAAATTCCAAGCCCCTTACTAGAAAGACAAGGGCAACAGACACGAGGAAACACACTGCCTGCAAGCTTCCTTCCAAGCCACTCCCCATCCTGACTTGGAAGTATATCTTTGACCCAATGACACTGCAGGAACAAAATCTGGAATGCACTTGGACTGTGGCAGGTTGCTAGTTCACAAGGACAACTAGGGATAGGCATAAATTCTAGTTGAGCCAGTGATTCCCATAGGTGAATAAACTATACTGAATGACCCTGCCTCTACAATTCAGTAGAGGAGAATTCTACAGACTCTCTACCCTCAGGAAATTCTTCTCCCCCCTCACCCCACCCACCTGTCTTAGTTGGTGATTCCTTTGCTGAGATTATGCTCTTTCCTTGGATTCAAGGAGAAACTCCTTCTCCATCTGTCTTGTCAAGTTCCCTAAATCTCGTGCTTCAATATGGTCATTACCCATTCTTAACTCCAATGTGTCCAGGCCTAATCTATTCAGCCCCTCCATAACTAGGATGAGCCTAGCAAACCTGGACTGCCTCGAGTGCCTGTATACCTTGGATAATGAGTAAAACTGTTTGCAAAATCTCACTGGACTGATTAGTGCCTTATACAGTCTTGGTAAAGCACTTTTTATTTTTGTATAATCCATTCCATTTGAATAATGGCCAACATCCAATTTACTCTTTCCAATACCCACTGAATCCATGCTATATATTTTTGACTCGGATGAGAATTCCCAAATCCCTCTTCCATAGCTTTCTGAATTGCATTCTATTTAAATAAAACTCATCTTGTATTCCAGCCAAGGTGAGCACCTCTTTCTCATACCATTTGTCAAGCTCTTGCCCACTCAACCTTTTTCTATATCTACCTTGCTATCATCCTCGATGCCTTTCTATCTAATTTTTATCATCCACAGACTGAGCTGTAGTACATTTTATTTTCTTCCAAGTCATTCATATATTGTAATTTACAGCACCAGCAATGATCTTTGATACTCCACTGGTTATAAGTCACCATCCTGATGTCTTCCTTGATCCAACTGTCTATAAGCTAATCCTCTATACATGCTAACATACTACCTCCAACACGATAGCTACTTAGATTCTTGCCTTGCTAACAGAAATGGAAGCTGGGTTAATTTAGTATGCCTGAACCTACTACATACTTCAATACAAGCATGATTAATTTTGATCTTCAACCCACCACCTTCCCATCTGCTTCCCATATTCTGAGACCAAAAAATCTCTATCTGCCCTTAATACATTTTGAAGAGTGATTGACTGGGATCATGTCTGAGCTCTTGGGTCACTAGTCGTAGTTTAAAATGCTTTTATCCAGCACCCCCCTCCCTTCCATCTCTGAAATCGAAATCAAGAACATCAATGCAAACTAGCCCATTTCTATTCTGATACATCAGCAGGTTATCTTTTTTATCTTGGAGTTTAAGTATAAAACTCTGAAGGTGCAAAATTTATCCTGGTGCTTAACTGTTAGATAAGTGAACCATTTCTTTTATTAAGCTATTGGTATATTAGAATTTTCTCATTGATTATTCAATTTGAACATTAATTGAATAGCTCAGAAGCCTCAAGTTGATTTTAAAAGATGGGTTTTTAATCTGGCTTTTGCCTCTTTTGTTTATTGCATTTTTTAAACCCTTCAGGCCAAGTAACCTGCAGTCCAACAGAGTTCACTTGTTCCAATGGCAGATGCATTTCCAAGAAATTTAGCTGTAACGGTGATGATGATTGTGGTGATGGAAGTGACGAAACAAACTGTCAGCCAATTTCCTGTGGCCCACATGAGTTTCAGTGCAGTCATTCTTCAGAGTGTATATCCTTGAGCTGGCTGTGTGACCACAATGTTGATTGTGCTGATCAATCTGATGAATCTCTGGACAGATGTGGGGGCACAACAGCTCCCCTTGCCACTTGCTCTCCTAATGACCGTCTGTGTGGCTCAGGTGAATGTATTCACCAGAAATGGTTTTGTGATGGAGATGTTGACTGCAAAGATGGCAGTGATGAAGCAAATTGTCGTAAGTGATTTTCAATAATTGTTTATTTCTTTCATAACTCTGAAGCTCAGACTCCTGTATATATTGAGCAAATCTTGAAGGTGCTACTGTAATACTCAACTGCTCAGGATGACTGAATCAGGGACAGAATGCACATAGATCCCACCCAGACAGTACCTACTCTAATGCATATAATAGAATTCATTTGTTTATGGAAAATGTAGCACTGGTTTATCAAGTCAGCATGCCATTGCAATACTGCAACAGTTTTTTTTACACCCAATCTACATGCTTGATGTCCTCTTAAATCCCCAGCATTAAATCTCCATTTGTGGAGAAAAATGTTTATATTGGGGTGACTGTAAAATTTGAGGGGCATAGGTAAGGTAGACAGAAACTGTCCTCTTTGGAGGGATCTGTGACTGGGGACATGCCTCTTAAGGTAGAAAGCAGAAGGTTTAGAGGAGATGAGGGAAAACCTCTTCCTGAGGGTGGTGTGAATCTAGAAGAAGCAGAAACCCTCAATGCTTAAGTATTTAGATGTGCACCTGGGATACCAAAGCTATGGGCCAAGTGTTGGCAAATGGATTAGAATGGTTAAATTGAGGTGAATCATGGAATGAAGGCTTTAGCAGCTGAATGAAGTATGACAGGTAGTGATGTGAGCATGCCATGCAAAACTCAGCTGCTTTAAAAAGGAGTCTAGGGCAAACTTCAGACAGTTGTCAGGGAGATGGTGTTGGTCTCCTCTTCCAATACTAGACAGTTGAGGTTCAGCCTGGTTGAATCACTAGTAATGTTTTAGTTGTTAGTTTGATACCAGGGCTTATGTGGAGCTTGGCTTTCCTCAACTTAAGGGGTGCCATTGTAGGTAAGAGTTCTATCGAGGAATAGATCTTCAAGACACCTGGAGTGATAGAACAATTGAATCATTTGGGATGTGGTTTCCCCCCTCAGGTTGAGCTTAGAATAAGATCTTTATAGGTCACTCAGGCCGAGCCTCCCATTGATCTGCCCACACCCTGACTCATGCTGCCTTTTTTAGCCTGCAGCTACACTCCTTAAAATCTGTCTACCTCCCCCTCAATATTTCCCATGGTCTGGCATCTACAATGTTGTTGTGAGGTATGGAATTCCAGGTGTACACTCTTCTAGGAGAAGATGACTATGCAACTGAGATACAAAGTAAAGGGTACTCATTCAATGCCATGCCCCTCTAGTTGAAGATTGCCCATGAGTGAAAACCAATTATTATTCTTTCCATTAGCACCTTGCTTATCTGAACTTGGCGATGTTTAGATTGCCTTCCATTACAAAGGCAAAAGGAAAACCTGGTTAAACTATCTGCCACCTTTTTTTGTTCTCGTGAAATCACCATTGCATCCTCGGGTCCCACACTCAGTTGCTTTTATTTTACTTTATACACCTGAAGCTCTTTAAATTTCTTGCCAATTTACTTAACTTTAAGTTTTGGTTCCAATAAAATTTCCCAAATCCCCTGGTCTACCATTTTAGTTTTTGCTGCTTTGTATGTCTTGGTTGCTTGGATACACTTGACCACTCTTAAATCCTGATTTCACTCTTTGACCAGACTAAATTTTGCTGAGCATTATGAAATAAGTGAATGCAGTCCAACCAGTTGAATGAATAAAGGCATTGGTAGAGTGTGATGCTGTTGACCACCAATGTATGCCATTAAAGGATTTTCCTTGATTTTACGGGGAGGTGATAGTCTAGTGATAATACTAGACTGAATCCAGACACCCAGGGAATGTCCTGGGGGCCTGGGTTCAAATCCTGCCACAGCAGATGGTGGAATCTGAATTCAACAAAAATCTGGAATTGGGAGTCTAATGACAATAGATTCAGTGTCAACTTGTCAAGAAAACCTATCTGGTTAATATCGCTTTTTAGGGAAGGAAACTGCCATTGTTATCTGGTCTGACCTACATGTGACTCCAGACTCAGCAATGTGTTTGACTTCCAACTGCCCTCTGGGCAATTAGGAATGAGCAATGAATGCTGGCCTGGCCAGTGATGCCCACATCCTATGAATAAAAAGAAAACCACATGCCTCTAGAATTAAAAACCTTAAATGCTAGACCTCTGAAAATTTCAAAGTGGGGGGCTAAAAGCTAGATACTGCTGCTTAATTAGTATTAAACAGCACAAATTTAGTACATCAGAGTACCTTTTACCATTTGCTAGTCAACTTTGTTTTTTCAGTCTGAGCAGCAAGCACAGTATGACCACAATAACATGAACTGCACTTTAGATCAATGTTTTGCAGGATATTTGCGTGCACACTTTCATAATATGCTCAAACCCTATTTCTCAATTGTGCTATAAACTTTTTTTTGTTAGCACCTCCAACATGTAGACCTGATTACTTCAGATGCAGTGACGGTAGCTGTATCCCTGGACACAGACAATGCAATGGAGTTAGTGATTGCCCAGATAGCAGTGATGAAATCAGCTGCAAGAAGGGTGAGTACGCGCTTGCAACTGTGCCTCTGTTTTTAAAAAAAAGTCATCAATACTCATGCAAATTTCAATTTCGTGCTTTAATTTTGACAGTTGCAGCGTGCACAGGACCCATGGACTTCAAGTGTCAAAGTGGTGAATGTATTAACATATCGCAAGTCTGTAATAAACAGCAGGATTGCAAGGATTGGAGTGATGAACTCCTTGGAAAATGCAGTAAGTGTTTTGGGACTGAAAATAGTTAATCTAATCTTGTTTTGTTTCATCAATAACTTTACAGTTGCTATAAATCAATAACCACCTGAGGAGGGCTCACTGGACCTGATAGGTGAACTCTGACTTCATAGATGCTGCTAGATCTGAGCATTCACAGTAATTTGTTGTTTCTGAAATCTTTATTCCTTTTTTATGTCCACTTAACTCTCTCTCTCCCATAATATTTATGACTTGTGGCTCAGGTCTTTGCTACAACACTTTAAGCTTGAGTTTGGCATGCCAAATTTGAACTGTCTTCATAGTAGAATGTTCTACTGGACTCTGAACTGACCACTGGTAACTTTGTACTTTGGGGTAGTTTGCTGCCACCAATTTTTTTTTTAGTTTTTATAATCAACTCATTTTGGGAGTGTAGTGAGCTACTTCAGGTACAAGTGGGATTTGAGCCTGGGCCTTCTGGTCTGGAGATATGGACACTGCCACACAAGCCCCTAATCTTCCTTTCTAGTTTTTAAAAAGCTCCCCTTCTGGAGCAGATGGGACTTGAACCTGAGCTTCATGGCCCTGAGGTAGGGCCAGTGTCGTAAGTGCTCTCAATCTTCCCTTTTTGATTGTTGAGATCCTGTCTGTCTAATCGGTGGCAGACCACTGGTATACCTTTAAAAGGCACTGGCCTTTGTGTAACATGATGCAGTTTATTGCTTGATAGTGACAGTTATATGTTAACTACTTTGGCTCCTGATCATTGTAGCTCATCCTGAGATGACACCTGTTTTTCAGATTCCAGACACAAACAAAATAGGAACAGGGCTAGGCCATTTGAGTCTGTTCCACTATTTTGTTATCATGGCTTATGATTCAACACTAGTCTGTTCCTGTTTTCTCCCCTTGACCTTTTTTCATTCTTCTCTGGCCCCCAAATGCTATATCCAACTCTTTCTTGAAAATCTGTTTTGGCCTTGACTGACTGCTTGCTATGGTAGCAAATTCTACAAACCCCTCACTCTGAAGAAACCTCTCTCCTCCATCCTAAATTGTTTATTCTGTATCTGAAGGGTGTCTCCTGGCTGAGTCTTGTCTCATCTAAATGTTTTTCTGGAATGCATGTGACTCTCAAACCATACATTGTTGACTCTTAACTGCCCTCTGAAGTAAAAGTCAAAATTTGCTGGAGGGAAAACTACAGATCTGGCAGCATCTGTGGAGTGTTATTTCAGGTTGAGTGAACTTTCTTCAGAACCCTGACCTGAAATGTTAACTGATTTTTCTCTCCAGAGATGCTGTTAGACCTGAGCTTTTCCAGCAAATTGTTGTTTTGACTTGCAGCATCTGCAATTCTGGTTTTCTTATTTAGTATGTCCTCATGGTCTAGTATGCCACACTATTTAAACTGACAATCTATTGACCCATAATGGTGGTTCAAATCCTACCATAGCAAGTGGTAGACTTCGCCTCGAAGGTAAGTTTTTTGGGATGGTTGTGCATTTTTCAAAGTAAACAGACGGACAGATTTTAGGCAGCCCTATTGGATAGTTAGAACTGTAGAAATTTTAACTCAAATAGACCAGCCATGATCTTGCTGGTGGAGCAGGCTTGAAGGACTGAATGACTTGGTCTAATTTGGCTCCTGTTTTGATCATTTATTGGGGATAGCCAGCATGCCCACATTATTTAGGCTTTTTTCTAAAATAAAAGCCCCCATGCCTCCCTTTTTGTTTTTGTCAGGTAATGATCTGATTTTCACAATGTTCACTTTGATTATGTATTGAAAAGCTGCTTCCTAATCTGGTTTTGTTTCCAAACATCCTGTAACATACAATATTTCTTGTTTCTGCATGACAGTAATCCTGCAGAATCAATAGTGCTTTCAATTACTGAATAAGTGATCAATTTAAACTGTACACAAATAGGAGCAATTCACTCCCTTGAGTTGTTGTAATGTCTTGAGGCAAGAGAACAATAAATTTACCTTTGACCCTGATTAAACGAGTGAAAATCAGTTGAATAAATTTGGGCAATGTACAAAGATAGAACTGCGTAGTACTAAGAATTATCATTAGGAGCAGTCATTAATTGCACAGGACATTGGCCTCTTTGGAGTACTGTAGGCAGTCCTGTTCAACCTGTTTATAGCAAGGATATTAAACTGGAGGGTTCAAAAGATTTACCAGGAGGTTGTCAGGAATAGAGGATTTGAGCTAAAAGATGGGCTTGCACTCTTCACTTGAGTGAAGGAGTTTGGGGTGGGGGGGCACGGTGTGACTTTAGAGGTTTATGAAATCATAGGGAACATGGGGTGCATGACCAGGGTCTTTGGGTGCAGAAGTTCAAAACTAGGGGACATTTTAAGATGAGATTTTAAAAGAACATGGGTTGCTGGGGGTGGCAGAGGGGTGCAGAAGAGGAAAGACCTTATAGGTCATGTGGATTGAACTGCCCAAGGAAGTGATGGATGCTGTTACTTCTAAGATATATTTTGGATTAGTTCATGAATATGAAAGGTTTGTGGGGATATGGGCCAAGTACAGGAAATTGGGACCAGTTTAGTTTGGAAATGTGGACTAGTTGGACCAAAGGGCTTGTTTTTATGCAGTTTGACTCGAACATCTTTTGGGTAGATATCACGTGAAAACTTGATCCTTGCAATAAGTATTTGCCACTAGTCCCATGCACAATTGAGTTGATTTCCAAATGAGGCAAATCAGTGACATTTTTTACCTTTTTTAAAAAATGTGGGCTAGGCAGGTAAAAGATGGCATGGGAGAAAATATCTCTCCCTAATGAAGGGATGCACTAAAATTTCTCATTTTACAAGTATAGGGTTACGTAGCTCAATTGGCTAGATCAATTTTGCTGTGCAAAATGGTGCCAACAGGATGGGTTCAATTCTAGCACCAGATGAGATTATAATGAAGGACCCTACTTGACCTCTTCCCCTACATCTGAGACATGGTGACTCTGGTTAAACCAGCCCTAGGCATCTGAAATGGATTTGCCATTGTTGGACTGGGATGGACAAGGTCAAAAATCACACTAGGTTATAGTCCAACAGCTTTAATTGAAAAAGCAAGCTTTCAAAGCTCAGCTCCTTGAGCATATGAAAGAGGCTCTTGTAACTTCTCTCTCTCGCCTGAGGAAGGAGCTGAGATCTGAAAGATCTCTGACTAGGGATTTGCAAGCCCCAAATGACAATCATGTATGAAGAGTACATCCTATTCTATTGGGCCCTCTGGTAGATTGCCCTTCCTTTATCAGATTGTGAATAACTTCAAAGGAGAACTACCAAATTGATGTCCTTGCATTGAAAAAATGTTTGCATTTCTTGGAGCAGCACACTCTCTAGATTTACCAGAAAGCAGATTATACAAGACCTGTATAATGTAATATATGGTAGAATTAATTTCTCACCTCTGAGCAGAGGCACTTGAGTGGTATTACCCACAAGATGGTTGTTTTACATCCAGTTTTGAAAGGTCAAAAATAGATCTCAGGCTCATCTTTTGAACCACTATATGGACATGAAAGTTGCAGTAGTTGACATGAACTAAATATATTTGGCTAGGTGAAGTAATCACTTCTAATGATCCTGTTCCTACTGTAATGAAAAATCCAAGGCTGGCCCATTGTTAAAGTCCTGCCAGTCTTTATACAAAAGAGAATACCCAAAACATTAAAGACCAAGAACATGAATCTAGCTCAATGTCAAGTTACCGAGAGTCTTTACAGGTGCCTAAAGCAAGTGTTGGGCCTCTGAGGATGAGAATGTGGAGTTAATATTAGATACAGGGGGTCTTTAGTGTTGGTCAGATCTTTAAAACTTACACTTCCTGTATTTGCAAACTGTTTTTGTCCTGCAATCAGACTCCAGAGTAACCACTATAGAACCCAGGTACTGACTATAATGTAGTGTTGGTGGATGTAATGAAATATTTCCCTTCTGCCTTCACTACATAAAGGATACCAGCTAGTTAATACTTAAGTTGAGGCAAGGATGTCCATAATTTAAAATTGAACCTTTTCTTTAAATACCAGAAGAGCTTCAGCCATGTAACTGGGCTATTTAGTGAATTGAATTGATAAGCTGAAATGATCCATCTTGTCAAGGATTGTTGGCTCACTCACCATAGAGTGAACATTGGGGTCTTTTGCAATCAAAATGAGTTTCAATAGAATCCCTTAAGCTGCTGTAGACACATTACCCTAGTTTTGGCTGTGATGTCATACTATGCAAGGATAAGTGGTTAGAGGATAGTGTGTAAGCTTTAGTGGCAGTTGAACTTGGCAAAAATAGTCAATTTGCAGTAAGGTTTTAGTGTAACTTGCACTGAGTAAACTGCAGTTTTTAAATGTGATCTTCCATGTCATAGTCTCGATATGCTGATTCATTTTCCTCTTGATATTCCTCAAGACTTTGCACAATTTTGCTAAGCACAGTTCCCCTCGTTTTCTTCCTTGCTAGAACTTTGATGGAACTAGCCTTCTAAAGGATATTTTGCTTGTTCCTGTGTTGCATGTTTGCAGATTTGAGTACAAATTTCAGGGCACATGTCAATGTTATCCATGACCATGTTTAAATGTCAACATTTGAGTTAACCAAAACTTCAAGTACTTACTGCTACAACAGCTGCAATCATTTCTCACTATCAATTATTTATTACTTGTGGGGAAAAGGATGATAGCCAGTCATGCAAATTGCAACATTTCACTGAAAGTGATCCTGAGGAATGGAGTATTGAATCTTGTTTGTGCTTTTTCCTTAGATGTGAACGAATGCCTGATTAACAATGGAGGTTGTTCTCATATCTGTCATGATCTTGTAATTGGATATGAATGTGACTGTCCTGTTGGCTTTGAATTGGTTGGTCGAACCTGTGAAGGCAAGTTAAACCACTTAGCTTAATGTCAACTAGTTTTATTAAAAGCTTTAGGAATCTAAAGATGTTGCTTTATTTTAGATATTGATGAATGTCAAAATCCTGGAACATGCAGCCAGATTTGTATGAACCTGGAAGGAAGTTTCAAGTGTGAATGTCATCCTGGATATCACATGGACCTGACTAATTCTATTTGCAAGGCAATAGGTAAGACCTCACAATTGCTCTCTGTTAAAGGAACTTGGTCTTGGACAGTTCACAAATGTAATTATGGACTCTTCCTCTCCCCTTGATGTTGAAGATGAGGCACTGAATACTTGACTAGTCAGCATATTTCCACACAATGGCTTTCTCTGTCTGTATGCTTCCACCATTCCCTTGGAGTAAGGGTGTTTTTGTTGACATGGTTTCCTGGTAATATTCAGGACTATTAAGTAGCAGCAGAAGGCTTTTTAGTCCCTCCAAATGTGCACTGCCAGCTGAGATCATGGCTGATCTACCTCATACACTGGCAACATTAAGACCATAAGACACAGGAGCAGAAATTCAACCATTGAGGTTGTAGACTTGCTTGTCGAGCCAGTGTTTGATTTCAGATGTTTCATCACCCTGTTAAGTAAGTCAGTGCACTTCCTGAAGAATTGGTATTCTTTGTTATTTGTGCCTTGGTTTGCTGGAGTGGTTGGTATCACTTCTGGTTCAGTTTGTTTTTGTATTATCAAGTCTATATCAGCTTGCATATTGAACTGGACCCAATATACACTGGCTTAGCACGCAAGTCCACAACCTCACCTGCAACCCAAGCTACAAATCTAAACTTTAAACAGACGACAATTTTGAGCAGGCACAAAAATACTTTCAATATCTAGCCTCCAACATTCTGGGGTGACATTCTACATCTGCTAACATCCAGGAGATGAAATTCTTGAACCAGTTTTAAACATGTCCCCTTTATTCAGTAATTACTTCTGGCTTGATGCCCCCACTGAAGGAAAAATCCCCTCATTGACCATGTCAAGCTGCCTCAATGTTGTATCTTGCAATGCAATCACCCCTCATTCTAAAACTAGTGAAAATAAAGGCCTAGCAAAAAGCTAAAATTCCACTTGACACCTAATTTACTTCCTGTACCTTTTTTTTTATAATGCCAAGTATCTCATGCAAAAGATCACTCAGCCCCCCAGTCTAATCTGCCTTTTTTTGCTTTTTTCTGACCTAAAGTGCATGACCCCACATCTGTTAAGTTGTTTTGTTAAACTCCATCTGTTAAGTGTGTTTGTTTGTTTGTTTTTGTTTTTTGCCCACTCCCTTCTCAAATGCTCTTGCACCTAATTTTTCATCAGCAAATTTTGATGCATTACACTTCTCGCCAACCCGCACCCCCCCCCCCCCCCACCCACCCCACCTTTCCCCTGTCCCCTCCACACAACCCTGTTAAAGCCATCTTTGGACCCTGAAAGGTTTTAAAATGTCTGCCTCTGATCATCCACCAACTTACCCTCCTTTTTTTAAACCACACTCTAGACAACTCTTCATACCTCTAATTAGCCTTGCTAAGGTTGAGGACACTGGTTTGAAATGCAAGTTCTGCTCAGAATTTCAAATTCTAACATTGATCACTAATCCCTTGCAGGTCCTTAATTTGAGATCTTGTTAATTCAATTTATTATTCAATCCAAAATTAACTCCTGACTGTAGCTTCTAAGATGTAACCAATTTTTCATCCCCCTTGTCCAACTGCTTTTTCCAATCAATATGCCGGCTAAAATCACCAAGGGAATCTGCATTCTTGCCTTGTCTCATCTACTGTCCCACAACAAATGGAGCTGATTTTTAACTCCTCTGAATGGATTGGCCATTTCAAGGAGTTGGGCAACAAATGCTGGCCTTGCAGTTAACACCCACAGCCTGTGAAAGAATAAACTAATTATAAATCATTAACAGGCATAATGAGCCTGTATATATTGTCCAGAGTCCTACAGTGACTTCCATTCTCTCTCTCTCTTCCTGCTTAAATGTGCAGATTGTTTCTTCCATCACCTCTTTGGGTGACTTCCATTCATTGCTCTCATTAACTATGTAAGCATTGCAGTCAGGATAATTTAGAACTGGAATAGATCACCTCAGTTTAAAACCATACCCTAATTATTTCATTCTACAATAAGTTAAATGTGCACAGGGACTGCATGCATTTTAACATTCTGTCCTGTTTTGCAGTTTGTCTTCCAGTTTAAAAATTCCTATACTAAGTAATGAAACTAAATCATTGTTCTACAGGATGTATAAGAATCAAATATGCAGCAGACAATTGTCCTTGCAGTAGAATTATTTTAAACATGAGCTGGATGAATTATGCAGTGTTTACATCTGAACAGAATAAGTTGGGAACATTTTTGGCAACAAAATGAAACCCTTAAGCCAGATGGGTTAACTGTAAATTTGTTCAATGCAAAGTAGTGAAAGGTATTGTTTTATAGGATATAATCAACATCACCCTGATTTGGGTTTAGAGGTTGTTTTACTAAAATAAAAATAAACTGGATATATGGGCAGTAAGTTTTTGAAGTGTTTAAAACTGGATTATTCATTTTGCAAATCCTGCCTAGGAGAGGAGCCTTATTTAATGTTCACAAATCAGCATGACATTCGGAAACTAGGACTGCATCATCACGAGTACACTGAAGTCGCGGTGCAGTTGAGAAATGCTGTTGCTTTGGATGCTGATATTGCTGAAGAGAGAATCTTCTGGACTGAATTAGGCCGGCATGCAATTCTTAGGTAATTTGAAATCCTGAACTTGGACACTGCAGAGTATCAAACACTTTACAACATTATTTTTCAGGCAATTGTATATTAAGAATGGTTGCTTGTTGTAAATGTGCTGCTCTCTTTTTAATTACTTGAATCTCATATCTGGTTGTTTTAAGGCACTATTTCCATAAACTTGTTTGAGATTCAGCTGTCTGAATAACAACACGTTCTCTCATGACAAGCTAGTTTAAACAAGTAAACAAAAAAACTAAGCTGTGGGTGCTGGAAATATGAAAACTGAATTAGCGAGAGAATCTCAGCAGGTCTGGCAGCATCTGGACAGGGTGAACTTTTTGGGGTCTGGTGACCCTTCAGAACAGTCTCAATATTAACTCTGCTTTCTCCCCACTGATGTTTGCAGACCTGCTGATTTTTCTCTAGCAACCTTTTTTCACTTCAAACATCAATGCCCGGATCTGTAGAAACAAGTTAGACAATATACAACCAATGTTTTCCTTAAATAGCATGTTTACTGATCAGACTAGGCTGTGACTTTAGGGATAAAATTGTCTTCCATGTGAAATATGGATTCAGTCATACAGCATGAAAACAGACCCTTCTGGTCTAACTCACCTGTGCTAACCAAACATCCCATATAACCTAGTCCCACAGGCCAAGTGCTAGCAAATATCCCTCTTAAACCCTTCCTATTTGTGTACCCATCCAGATGCCTTTTAAATGTTGTAATTGTACCTGTCTCTCCTCCACTTCCACAGACAGCTTGACTCATACACACCACCTTCTAAAGTTACCCCTCCCCAGGTCCTTTTTTTTTTCTTTTGAAAATCTTTCCCTTCCTTAAACCTATGCCCTCTAGTTTTGGGCTGTCCTACCCTGGAACAAGGACTTTGGCTAATTACCCTATCCATGCCCTTCATTGTTTTATAAGCCTCTAAGGTCACCCCTCTGCCTTTTTTGCTCCAGGGAAAATAGCCTATTCGGCCTCTCCCTGTAACTCCAATCCTCCAGTCCTGGCAACATTCAACACCCTCTGCAAGTTTAACAACCTTCCTATAGGAGATCAGAATTATATTTGGTATTCTAAAAGTAGCCTCACTAATCATGTCCCAACTCCTATACTACTCCAATGTAATGACCAATAAATGTAAACATACCAATGCTGCTTTCACCAGCCTGTCTACCTGTGACTCTTGCACTGCTGCAAATAACCTTGCTAATGTACTGATATTTAATGTTTTAAAATCTGCAAGTTAGATAGGGACACCAATATCTAGTTATTAGTCCTGACTCCATTCATAAACATCTCCAAATTCCACTCCCAAGACTTGAACACACTTAGCTGCAATTTTAATTCTGACCAGCAGCACAGTACTCTGTTAAAGCTGAGCCTTTCTGTCGAGCACAAATGTTGTGGTGTTGAAAGAGCAGAAGCTTATCCATTGCCCTGGATAATTTTACTTGGCATTCATCCAAGGCCACCAATGTAGATCACTCATCTGTTTTAGGACTTATGACAGTGCACTTGAGCAAATGTGTGCCATACCTTGCGTTTTCATGAGGCAAGAATATAAAGTTGTTTCTCCTTGAACACAAGTGGCGTCTAAACAAGTAACTTTCTTCCAGTATGTCCTTGAATGATGACCAATCTGTGACTTCCAAAATTGAAGATGTGGACATTCCAGCAGGAATTGCAGTGGATTGGATCTACAAGCATCTCTATTGGACTGATCGGGGTTCTAAAACGATATCTGTGGCCACATTTGATGGAACTAAAAGGAAGGCACTCTTTGACACTGAATTAAGGGAACCAACTTCTGTTGCGGTTGATCCAATTACTGGGTATTGATTTTTGTGCATTTTAACATATAGCTTGTACATGGTTTTTTTATCAACTCGGGCTGAACATAACTCTGCTGTGGTCACATGTATTTGTAAATTCCAAAGCTGCATAGTCAACCTTCCTTGTGACTATTACTGCAATCATCCTGTTTGGAGTGTGGAAAGAAAAATTACTGTCCGGTATATCCCCAAAATGTTAGAATCAATCCCTGCAGTGTGGAAGCAGGCCACTTTTTTTTGGCCCACTGAGTCCACACTGATGATCTGAAGAGCATCACACCTCCTAACCCTTTGCAGAGTTAACAATTCATTTTATTAAATGAAGTTCAAGCATCAAATTGAGGTCCCTGAAAATTTGTGCTTCTATTTATTGACTTTTTTTGATTTTTGAAGGTTTATGTACTGGTCAGATTGTGGGGAACCAGCAGTAATTGAGAAAGCAGGAATGAATGGTGCTAACCGCCAGAATCTTGTGGCTAAAGAGATTCAGTGGCCAAGTGGCCTTACACTTGGTAAGGATAATTCTGAGAGGTTAAAACAATGCACATGCCTTTTGTTGACAACTGACTTAACCTGAACTTTATCCACAGATCTCATGAAAAGCCGCTTGTATTGGGTTGATTCAAAGTTGCACATGCTATCAAGTATAGGTCTAAATGGCCAGGATAGAAGAACAGTGTTGTGGTCAGAGGAATTCCTCCTTCATCCTTTTGCCATCTCTGTATTTGAGGTAATGCTTTGTTTCCCATCAGTTTTACAGGAACATTTTCCAACATTCAATTAAAGCATTTCAACTTGGTGAAATGGAATGCTTGCTGACTGAATCTGTACTGTAAGATTAAACAAATTCACTGACTTTATCAGAACATGACATCAGGTTACAGTCCAACAGCTTTATTTGAAATTAAGCTGTGAGTGCTGCTCCTTCACCTGATGAAGGAGCAGTGCTACAAAAGATTGTGATTTCAATTAAACCTGTTGGACTATAACCTGGTGTCATGAGACTTCTGATTTTTGTCCACCCCAGTCCAACACTAGCACCTCCACCTCCATGGCTACCATCTTTCATCCTTGGAACAGCTCAATAGAAAGTAACTCATTAAAACAGATCAGAATTAAAATTTAAGTCAAATCCTTTCAGGAAAGGTACTGACATGTCTAGATTATGGGTTAATCCATTCTTAAAAATAAATATGGTCTTGTTCCAGGACACTCTTTTCTGGATTGATGCAGCAACACAAACTATATATGGAGCCAACAAGTACACAGGAGATGATGTGAAGGTTTTGGCTTCCAACCTTCATAAACCACGTGACATCATTGTTTATAATAAGCTGGTACAGCCATCTGGTAAGATTTATTATCAGATTTTAATGTACAAAAGGAAATTCCTATCTTTCACTTGGGTCCAAGAGAAAGAGAACCATATCTTTAAAATGCAGACTTGTGGATGGAGGAGTGTCTTGTAAGGGAAAACCAGTCTGGGATCAGTGCATAGTCTCAGAATAAAGGGGTGTCAATTTAAGGCTAAGGAATTTCTTGATGGAATTCCTTAATATTAAATCTGAGATTAAATTCTCAGTCAGGGAATTGAAGGTTATGGGGCAGATGTGGGAAAGTGGATGAGTAACTTTGGATCAGCCATGATCCAGTTGAATGATGGGATAGACTAGAGGGGCTGAACAGCCTACCCCTATTCCTATTTCTTGTGATCTAGTAAAATCCTAGCCCTGCTATTAAATCAACTGTTTCTGATCATCTTTGGCCCTATCCTTTGCATTTTCTTTGGTCCATCCACTTGTCAGTGATTTGTAGAACTAAACATGCACAATTTCATTGGTATCCAGGAATTTCAGGAAACTTCATTCCTGCCTCACCTCTTGTCAACACTACACCTTTTTCAATCCTAAGTGCTGTTTAGGGAAAGAACTTCAATCTCTACCCACTTTTCACCTTTTTCCACTGCCCAGCAAGAGCCCCAGAAAAGGGTTTAAAACACTTACACTTACCTCCACCCTTGGTCTCAAGTGCAAACTGTACACTTTCACATCATGCAACAGCTTGTCTTTCCAACTTTTAAAGAAACTATTTAGGCAGCATATTTTTACTAAACGGCTTTTATTTTAATCTGCCTCTGTCTCACAGCATTCTATTAACATGGATCAATTCATGAATGCAGAAATGAAGTCATATTTAACTTTGTCCATAGGTAAAAATTGGTGTACTAAAAGCTTGAAGAATGGAGGCTGTGATTTCATGTGTCTCCCTGCTCCTTGGTTCAACAGTCAGTCACCAAAATACACTTGTGTGTGTCCATCTGGAAAGGAACTGGAGCCAAATGGAAAACACTGTAGAATAGGTAAATTGACACCAACTTTTTTCACATTGTGCTCATTATGTAGAGAATGTAAATGGAATCTACTGAAAATAAAAACTAACTTAGTGGGGATAAGCCTTTTTAATGTTTTAACTGGGTTGAATGGGATGGAAAGGGCTTCAGCCAGTGAAATGAGTGGCACCTCGTGTTAAATTGGATCTTTTCCTATATTTCCATTGAAAGTTGCAAGTAGGGAACTAGGATCTGAATAATACCAGCAACATATCACCATCACCACCTTTTTTAACCAAGCATTTTAGTATGCAGACAACAGTATAAGGCTCAACCAGAAAATTAGGATAGCAAATTCAACACCAATTAAGTCTAAAGTGGTGTTAAGATTCTCAGGTAAACAGTGTCATAGAGCTACACCCCATAAGGACTAAATACCACTAGGCAGAGATAATTGACCATTAGTAAGTTCATGAATAGCTTCTAAAATAGCTAATCTTAGTCTGGTATCTAGTTTCCTGCAGTTGTTCATAATATGCAAGCAACAGCTCTACGGAAGTGCTTGAAGACAGATCTTTAACCATGGCTTTGTGACCAGCCCTTATTGAACCCAAGCCATGTGACAAGGATGAGATGTTAGGCCTCTGGCCTAAAATGGCCACAACGCTAGAATTTTAGTTCACAGCTACCATATAAACAAACTTCTTTTACTTCACTGAATTAAAGTGGTGAGGCAGATAACTTTGCAAATAGGATGGTGGAGCAGCATATCCTGGACAGCTATATTTTAATATTGACACAATTTACCACATCGTTGCCTGAAGCTGTGCAGTTTACAAGTGTGGTTTTTTGCTGTTTTTAATATTTTTAGAAGGTTAATTCTGGCTTGTCTGCAATTTCAAAATAGATTACCTTTTAATCTCAGTAAGATGTCCTCTTTTTAAATAGAGGTCCAAAATTTTAAATTTGGAAACTGGGTCTACAAATGTACATGTTGCATAATTACCATATGCAGTACATGAGGCTGTTTTGACTAATTCTGTGGCTCTGATCCACTTATTGACGTTTCAATGTTCTCTTTCTGTAGCAAATTCAAGTATTTAGCATGAAATCTGCAGCTGAGTAATGTTGAAACCAAATATGTAAATGGATGATAGGCATCTCAATTTGACTTCTAATCTTATCCTTGAGTCCAAACACCTGAAGGCCAAGTAAGGGTCATCCAGGTGGCCTCCAACTCCTGGTCTTCAAATTTCAGCCCCCAGCTCTGCCTGCAAATAGCCAAGTATGACTTAGTATCCTGATCACTCCAGTTGGGATGTGTAGGCTAGGTGGATTAGCCATGGGAAATGCAGGGAGAAGGTAGAGGGGTAGGTCTGGGTGGGATGCTTTTTGGATGATTGGTGTGGACTCAATGGGCTGCTTCCACACTGCAGGAATTCTGCATGATTCTGGAAGTTGGTTTCTACCTGCAAGACTAGACTGCTCCAGTTGAGGCCCTCCATGAAGAGGTTTAATTTTGGAGAAACCAGTGCCTGTGCTGTATGCTCCATAGCTAAGTTTCCCCCAGTACTGTTGAATCTGGGTGGGATGCTCTTTACAGGGTCTGTGCAGATTTGATGAGCTAAATGACATTTCTGCAATGTAGGAATTCAATCACTCAAACTTTCAGATACAATATTTTAACAGACAATGGGTCATTAGATTTTCATTTCTCCTCCTCTTTTCAGCAAATGTATCTGCACCTGCAACAACCCTGGTGTCAACTTTGTCCTCTAGTACCACAAAACACCCACTGACTGGTCAGCGTACGGTCACTTCTCCTAGAGGTAATGCAATTGTATACAATGCAAAATGTGACTGTTAGAAAAATCAACCTTAAATATCAAACCAAATATTGGTGCCAAAATTAGCACAATGGTCTTGCTCATTTAGTTTTAACGTGATGTAAACAACAATATGCTGTCTACTCCTAAACAGCATGAGCTGTTTTCACCTGCTGCACCCCCCCAAAAAAAATGGGACTGTGGATTTGAGAATTGGAAGTTAGCTGTCACTTCTTCTGTCCCTGTAGGGAGAGTTTCGAATGCTACACTTGATAAAGTCAACAAATCGGAGAGTGGCTCTGGGGCTGGTTGGATTGCACTTGCTATCTGTAAGTATTTCTAAATGGAGGTGGTGGGGGAGAACAATCTTAGGTGAATGAGAATCTATTGAGCTCCTTTGAACTGAGCCTAATTGTTTGTTCTGCATTTCAGTACTCTTGACCATGGCTGGTGTTGCTGTCTACCTGAAATGGCAGGACTGGAAGAGGAAGACCCAGCAGAGAATGTATTTTGAGAACCCAGCCTTTGAGTGTGATTGATAAAGACAAATAAATGCAATTTTAAAATTCTTTTGGCTTTTTTTATTGCTTTAGTTATAACAAATGTGGTCTCCTTATTTTAGCTTTCACTTTGCAATCATCAGGTTTTTTCAGTCTCTGGTTTAATGCAGTCGGTATGCTTTGGTTGAAAGTTAGTCATAAATAAAATGACTATCTAACAACCAGTCATACTTCACATTTAATGGTATTGCCATGACTGAGTCCCTACCACAATATCTTGGAAGTTGTTGCTAACTGGAAATGGAACTAAAACAGCAATCCAAATACTAGACCATGACTCCCAGATCAGAGACTGGGAATTCCTGAGGCCATAACATCCCCTGACTCCCAAAAGCTTATCCACTTGCATCACAGCCCTGGTGAAAATGTTATGCACTGTAACAGCCAGTGAGTCAGAACTATCCACTGTAGTGGATGCAATGTCCAAATATCTGCTCTGGGAAAACTGGAGATTAATCTAGCTCTTTATTTAGATTTTTCTTTGGATTGTCCTTCCTAATCTCTAGTGCTCTTCAAAGTAGTTAGTAATAAAACTTAATTTGAGCAAGCCTGACTAAATTGGCTCCTTTTGTAGAAAACCAGTTAATTTGAATCTGAGGAAAATATCTTTCTAAACTTTGTCATAACCAACAGTGTGAATAAACAAGAGCCAGGTAATCTCTCTGCTCTTTTTCAAGTTAAAGTTTGAAACTTACAGCTAGGCTGTGATGTAACACTTTGGGCCTCTCACTGCCATTTTAAACTGAATCCACTAGATTTACTCAATTTGGAGTTGGATTTTGAGACACCATCTTAGAGGGCCTTTAATTATAGGAGGAGATGGCTTCCCTGAAGCAGCAGTTTTGTAGTCAGGGTCTCAAGCCTGCGAAGTAGCCCAAGAATACAATCTCTTAAACACATGCAGCCTCATGTCAGGGCCTGAATCTTTCAGCCAGGAACTGCACGTTAGTGTTACTACCAACATTCAACCCTTAAAGGCATGTAGAGTAGCCAAGAAGAAATAAAGTTGCTTTCTTTTCTTCCACCTTCCCCACCCTGCCTGAGATCTGGTGTTGGCTAAGGTTCTAGAAGTTAGCATGGTAAAACAACACTGCTGCTATAAAAAGGATAAGTGGGTAACAGACCTCCAATCTAGAGGCTTGTTGGAGGCAGATGAGATTCACCTTCTGCACCCGTTCTATAATAGCTTTGCTTGTACATCTAGATTCCTTATTCACCCACCTTGTGCAGAGCTGCCTACTACAATAATTAATACATAATAGACATGACCTGAAAATGAGGGGAAATCCATTCAGAAGGTTGACACTAAATATTGACAACTTTTGTAAAATTTCAACAACCCTTCCAAAGTTTGAATCAGGAACATTCCTACATTTCACTGAAAGTATCTTATTCATGTGGAGAAATTAGACTTTTAAATATTGATGGATATTCTATTCTGCTGGTTATTCCTAGATATTTGATAGTTACTACATTTAGATATTAGATTATATTTAGTATTGTGTTTACTTTTTAGCAGAGCTATATACCACTTAATGGAATTTAACAAGATACACTTTAAGATTTGTAAAATTAGTTAATTGTCTCCAATTTAATCAATAATAGCTTGCTTCAATTTGCACCTTGTGGGAACACTTTAGGATTTCTTTTCAAAAAAAAAAAACTGTCAATATCTGGGACACTTACAGCTTCTGAAAATTTGAGGCTACTTAATAGACAGTAACATTCTTGGGTGGGAGCTTCTCTGTGAAGGAAAAATGTTCACCTTGGTAAAGGCTGCTGAACTAGATAGCAGCGCACTTGTCTAATTGCACTCTGTTCCTAGATGACCTCCTAGAATACAGCAACATATGACAAGTACACTTCAAAAACCACATTCACGCAGGGCCAGGTGCCCTTTAAGATGCATTGTGGGTCAAGTATGAGTACTACTCAGCATGGGGAAATAAGGTTCTTGAGAATGTGGTACTGGGAAAATATCAAACTGCTTTTGAAATACTGAAGGCTGTGTTAACAACTAAGGCTGTGCTTGTAGCTCCAAACTTTCAAATAAGTGACTATCACAGAATCCTACAAGGTAAAAGCAGGCCATTTGGCCTATTGAGACCACACTGACCCTCTGCAGAGCACCCTGTCCTATCCCTGGAATTCTGCATTTTAAATGATTAACCTACCTCCACAGTACAAATTTGTGCAGGTTAGGAAAGAGGAGCACTCGGGAAGTCTGAAGCCTGTGCAGACACAGACAGAATGTCACCCAAGGGTGGAATCAAATCCAGTACCCTGGTGCTGAGAGGTAGCAGTGCTAACCACTGAGCCACCCTGTAGCCTAATGCAAGAGAAACTGGGCCCTTCTTTAGGAAGGATGGTCTAGATTAGAGAGACCAATTGAGTACTTTTTTTTTTCCCAATAAGCTGAACAACCATTATAAAGACTAATCCATAATGTAGAAGCTAAGCCTCTGGCTCTCAAACACCTTGAGATGTCTGTCTGAAATAGGTTCCACTAGGAGATCACAACGCTCACTTTGTGAAAAAGTTTGTGTCTCAACACCAGGTTATTCCACTGGAGTCAGGTTAAAAATTGGCTCCTTTAGTGTAATTTCATTTGGGTCTGAACAAAAGGTATTTAAAAGGGGGAGGGATTTGTTGTTAGATGAACCTTGTTGCAAGCAACTGAATGAATGGGTGGATTAAAAAAAGGATCCAGTTCATCCCTTTATCACTCAGGATCTTAACAGTGAGGGGTATTCCATCAGGATATGTAATGAATTTTTGGAACAGGGATGTGTCCGCAAACATTCACTCACTCCACTATTGACGTAATAGTAGCTGTATATACCATCCACAAGATGCACTACACACATCCACCCAAACGTACCATCCAAAGACACAACTACTATCATCACAAAGGACAAGGTTAGGAGAGAAATGGAAACACCATCATTTGAAAGGTCCATTCCAAAACACACACTCTTCTGACCTGTAACTTTTTTCATTTGTTCACGGGTGAAGATGTTGCTGGCTAGGCCAGCATTTATTATCCATCCCTAATTGTCCAGAGGGCAATTGAGAGTCAGTCACATTGATGTGGGTTCAGAATCACATGTAGGCCAAACCAGGTAAGGATGGCAGATTTCCTTTCCTAAAAGACATGAGTAAACAGATGGGATTTTTCTGACAATTGACAGTGGTTTCATGGTCATCATTAGACTCCTAATTCCAGATTTCTTTTAATAAATTCAAATCCCACTATCTGCCTAGAACATTACCTGGGTCTCTGGATTAACCGTCTAGCGATACTACTAGTTGGCCAAGTCTCTCCAAATATCACCATTTATTAGTGTCACTGGGTTAAAATCCTGGAACAACTTCCCTAACACGAAGTTCAATGGACCTCAGTGGAAAAAAGCACCACCTCAGGGACGATTACAGATGACAATAAATCCTGTCTGCCTGTCCAATGATGCCCAATCCTGTGAATGAATGAGAAAAACCGAATCTGCAGGCACTCGAAACCTCAAACTTGTAGAACTGAATGTAGCAAAATTGATTGCAAGGGATCACATAGTTAGAGCTAAGACAACAAGGTGCAGGGCTGGATGAA